AATGTAGTTAATGTGACTGAGGAACTACACTTTTAGTTTCATTTTAATTAATTTAAATTTAAATAACCATGCATGGCTAGTAGCTACCATATTGGATAGTGCAGCTCGCTTTGGATCTTCTCTTGAATCAGATAAAAATAAGCACTAATGGAAGAAGTACTCTCTAGTTTTTCCAAGATGGGATACTAGCACTAAAGAAATGCCGAGGTTTGTTTGTTTGTTTTAAGTTTTTGTTTTAAATGAAAGAATCTCTTGCTCTTTCCATTCCAGCTAAACACCACGTCCTGCACGCTAAGAATGCCTCCTACAGAGAAAAAACCTGGATGGATATTTTCCCAGAAAAGCTTGTCCAGGAGCCCTGCTGACTCTGATGAGGTCTTTCTACCCCTCTGCCCACCTCCCACTCAAATACATACATTCTTCTCTAGGGAGAGAAGTTTTAAGTGTGAAGGACTTTAAATATGCAGCAGGACAAACAATAACTAAAAATTAGGTGGTCAGCAGGTTTTCTCTGTCCATTCCCTCAGTCTGGGAGCAGAGGACTGGGCCACAGAAAATTTCCGCTAGGAATACCAGAGAACTTCCTCTAATCAACCCTTTATTGAGTAGTTCTGGTTATTTCATGTTGTCCATTGTCCTGGCATTCAGAGCTGTGTTTTTGGTTTCCTTCTGGTGATGAAAGGATCCATTGTCAGCACAGCCTTTTATTCTCTTTATGTCAAGAGAAAAAAACTCTCAGAGAACCAAATTAAAAACAAGACACATCTGCTTCTAAAGAATTCCATATTTATTTTACATAGTTTTACCATACACATCTCATGCCAACACACAGAAGGCATATACAAACAAACTCACCAGCTTCTGTTTTCCAAAGTCACATGGCAATAAATAAGGATGAGTGGGTCTTTTTTTTTCTTTTTCTTTTTTTCCAGGAAACGAGACTTCATTTCTTTTTAACTGTACAACATTTACACTGTGAAGGGTGAGGGCAACAATCCAGAGCTTAGGGGTTCTGGGGCTTTGAGGTCTGAATGCAGGCTCATAGCAACTTTGCATCCGGGGTCCTGCAGCTCCGAACCTACTTGTTTGGCTGAACACGGTCCTCAAGTGGGAAAGTACAGCGTGATGCCTGCCTGTCGGTGGGCAGCAGAAGAGAGTGGGGGGGTGTCCTTCCTCTGTCCACCTGTGCTCTGCCTCTCTAAGCAAAGGAATGCTTGGCGCACCTCCCAAACCTGCAGCTGTCTCCTCACCAGAGCTAGCAGCATGAAACTGTGTGCTTTCAGTGTGGTCCTACCAAGCCGAGTGTGGATGAGATGACTTTGCTGAGCTCTCTTTTTGGCTCCAGTCACTGTGTTGGAGCAGTTGGAGCAACTATTGCAAAAAGGGCCAATTGGCCAATCCAAGAAAGAGAGAGCCAGTGATGTGCTTTTTATTTAGCTTTCAGCATGCCCAGAGCCCTTCAGCAGCAGGCAATAAAACAAAACTCATTTCCGCTTAATTGAATTGTTCTTCATCTCACGGTTTCCAATTTTTAAAGTGCAGTGTTTAAAAATGAGCCGCCTCAGTCCTACCAGACCCTGCTGGCTGAGGAGGTATGGTCATTATTTCCACGGTCATAACCAGGTTGTTGGTCAGGGTGTGTGGGAAAGGGGTGTGGAGTGTAGGTGCCAGAGCGTAGACTGTCTACAATATACGGCTTTTGCTGATCTGAAACCTCAAACCACCTCCTGCAAGGAGGCCAAAAAAACCCACTGCCGTCGAGTCGATTCCGACTCATAGCGAGCCCACAGGGTTTCCAAGATTGTAAATCTCTACAGAAGCAGAACTGCCACATCTTTCTCCCCAGGAGCCACTGCCAACCTTTCAGTTAGCAGTTGATCACATTAACCACTGTGCCACCAGACCTCCACCTACAAGGAGACAGTTATTTCAAAGGTAACCAGCTTGCACTTCACAGATGGTAAGGCCTTTTGTTCTACAGATTCCTTAGACTTCCTTGCAAAGTGAACTTAATTATGAAGCTCTAACAGTCCCCAATTACCTGATTAGACTTCATGTTTTCATGGGGGATGAGGGGATTTTAAGGACTACACTGCCCAATTCTTTTCTTATGCCTTAATTTCGCTCCCTTTCCCTGATGTTTCACTGTATTAATTTTCAGGAACAATGTTAAAGTGAGTAGTAGTTTTTCATTTTACACTATATTCATAACTCTCTGATGAGGCAAGAAAGAGAAAGCACAAAGACTGAAAGGAACTTGCCTAAGGTTGCCCAGCAAGTCCTGGAGAGGCCAGGAACCACGCTGCCCAACAATGTGGTTTATCCATTGGGCCAGCTGGGCCTTTAGACTCAGTATTTCCCTGATTTTATTAATTTTCAGCAAGTATAGATTCCTTCACAGCCCCCGTTTCCATTTTTGCTTATATCAGCTACCACTAGAAACTTGGGTTCTTTTTTATTAATTTGTTCCTGGATTCAGAAGCTTCCTATTCTAAAGTCTGTCAGGCAGGCACTGCAGATAATGGTTGCTAGTTAATTGCTCTCTTGGATGCAAAGAAAAGTCCAAATATTGTAAATGCTTCTAGAAGGTCTCCGTTTATTTTTTAAATTCATCCATGTCATGTTAAGGGGGAAACAGCTACCATGTAGCACCTTATGCCTCAGTAATGGGCTAGTGAGCAATAGAGTAGTGCCGTTAAGAGAATCTAAAAGTAATGTTCTGTTCTCCATCTCCAAACCACAGAGAGCCAAGAAGCGGTCTTGGCATGCAGTGGTCATTAGTGGCACTGGCCATCCATACGCTAACCCCACTTGCAGGGAGATACATTTAAAATCTGGGACCCATTGTGGCTGTGCTTCTAAATGGGGTACTAGTGTTTGCTTTGCTGCTTTTAGGGGAGGTGGCTCAGGGGAACTTAAAGCTCTCTTGGCTTTCTGACCAGTGCTCTTTCCGGAGCTTTCCAGCCAAAAGCAAAGAAGCTGCTACCAACATTAACATCAACTACACTGAATGAGGAAGGCCTCCCATTCTTCCACCATTGATTTGGGTGTAAGTCATGATTAGCTCTCATACCAAAAAAAAAAAAAAAAACAACTGGTCAACTTCATAAGCTGTGTTAATTGATTCTAAAAAGCAGTGCTACACAGAGGAGCTGCCCCTTTTAAAGAGCCTGCTCTCCTCATACTAACCAAAAATATGACCTGCTTCTATAATCCCATGAGATACTAAGCCAAATAATAAGCCTAGGTGGGACAGCTTTTCAACTGGTTCATTGCCCAGCATAGCCTTTCTCCCATGCGTTGGGAGCAACCTGCTAAGAATGATGTATTTAAGACGATGTCCTCCAAAAAGACAGTTGCATTTTCCTTTCCTCCAGATGGCTTGTTACCTTGCATTTGTGTCTCCCTCACCACCTCCAAGTGTTCACATTACTGGGGAATTTCCAATAGCACAGAATCGGATAGGCTTAACACACCGCTATTTGTAAACATGGAATCTCAAGAGTCTACATTTGCAGACTCCTCAAACAAAAATGACTACAGTTGCAGCACACCGAAAAATAAGAATACACTATAAAATTGATCAAAAAAAAAGATGGTCTGAAGGTTCATCCCAGGAATTTATTGACTGTCTTAAAGAAACTTAACTGAGTTTAGTCCTGGAAAGGAGTTTACAAAGGGTGCGGCAGCCAAAGGAGAACAGATACTTCTTCCTTTAGTCTGCCTACCATATGCCTAAATCTTTGCAGTTCTCAAAAGGTGATGAACCATTCACTGAAGAGAGTGTCCTTGGGGTCTTTGCCTCCATCATTTCATGTGAAAAAAGGGCAAAGCCTTCCCTTCCTTTCATACTCTGCTGATCTTGTTTAAGAGGATAGGAGGTTGGAAGAAGCAAACCACAGTTTCCTAAGGGGACCACGATAAATTCCACCTGGCTAAATTCCAGTGTGCCCGTGGAGACCTTCCTGACCGATAGCTGTGTGGTGCATAAATGCAAGCTGCGGCACCAATCACGTTGGTGTTTCCCATAGAGGTGCAGTCTCTTGCAGGGTGGCGCTGGCAAAGCAGGGGTTGGCCTTGCCCTTGCCTCAGGCTTCGTGATGTTAGTGATGTGCTATTATACACTGCAAGTTTCTGCACTGCCAGCGGCTGGAGAGCTCTGCCTTTCTGAGCACAGGACCAGAGTCCAGGGCATGGAACGAGTCCAGCCAGCAACCCTGAGAGATGCAGCCCAAGGACCACTAAGAACACTTTAGACAACTTTAGGGCTGCTCCCTAAGTTATTCCTCCCAGCCAAGGATGGGCCAAAAAGTATCTTTCATACCTGGAAGAGACCAAGACTACCCTTCAGTTGAGCCAGCTAGCACAGCAGAGAAAGCTTTCATTGGAGAGGAAGTGGGGAGGGAGACCTCGCTGCAGGTGAGGGTGGCCTTGCAATCTCATCTAAACCAGCTCCCTCAAAACAGACTCTCAAATATCATTTCACCCTAGAAGGATGGGGAACTCTGGCAGACTGGCATCTGCCAATATGGCTAAACAGACTCTGTGTTTGGAATCCAAATGTGTCTACAAATGTCTTCACTGATTGTCATTCTGTTCTCTCCGTATTTTAGCGTTCATCATTTTGTAACCCACAGCCTGTCTTGTGGAATAAATGGTATGAGCAAATTAAAAAGGCACATTGTGCACAGAGGGGACGCACCAGATGGTCACTGTAATGGTATCTAGGGCCACTTAGCCCAGCGTTGGAGTCATCTGCAATGAAAACCGCTTCTTGCCATCAGGGATTCAGTGACACGTATGGGATTTCTTAAACACCAGAACTGACAAATACTCTCTGGTTTGTACTCCAGGATAGGGAAGAAGTCACATTTTCAGTAAAAAAAAAAAAAAACGGGGGGGAGGGGGAGGCATGTTTTTAATATCAAATTGTGGCCATCAGAGTTTTCACTGACCTTTAATAACTGATTTTTTATTCTGAAAATTAGAGTTCAATGGGGTGGTTTAGAAACCACTTTTATACTCAAGGGACATTGTGCCACGTGGACCTCAGGAATCTGTTCTGGTGAGCAGTGGTTTGTGAGGCATTGTGTGAATGCACCCATCAGAGCAGAGTTCCCAGAGGCCAAGGTGGCTGTCCCAGTCACCTCGTGCCACCAAAGCTCCGAGCAGCCAAAGCCTCTAAGCGGGGCAGGAGGGGAGAGAGCCAACAAGCCAGCATTCCCTAGAGCTCTAGGCTACACATCCCTGTGCTGTGTTCTGAGAGGAGGCTGCTCTCCCACCACTTCCCCAAGAAAACAGCACCCTAGAATGGTCTCAGAGCCTTCTAGGAATCAGTAGAGGACTTCCATTGAAAATAATGGAAGTTCACATTGATGCACTTTCGATCCTTAGAAGTCAAGTTTCTTTTGATCCTTGAAGATATTCTCTCAAGCCAGAAGGACAGGTAGGTTGGGGAGGAGAGGTGTTTAAAAAGGAGGATGATCCATTTCATCGAGCCAAGAGGCTGGGCTGGTTGGAAAGTCGGGATAGCCTACACTGCTTCCTGTGGAGATGTCAGAAGTGGGTCCCCCAGCCATGGCTCTCAGCGTCTGGCTCACTCCCTGCCCTGCATGCGCAATGATGCCCAAGTTATTGTCCACTGTGTAATCCAGCCCATTGAGCAAAGGAGCATGGGATGGCAGGGACGATATGGAGGATGGAGACTGGGGGATTCCATAGGGGCTCCCATCCCTCAAGTCCTGATAGGATTGTCCTGTCCCGTCCATGGAGAAGCTCCCATTCATTAACTGTCCGCCTGTAATGTCCCCCACGTTGCCATAAATCCTATTGGTGCGGCCAAGTTCTGAGAGAATCTGATCCTCTGTGGACAAAAGAATGGAGATTTATTGTCAGCCGCCAGGACCCCAGTGGTCCCCTGCTCTTCACAACCTAGGAACACAAACACCAGGAGAGAAGCCCAAGGACATCAGCTGCCTCACTGCTAAGCATGGGTCAGACACCAACATGATGGGCCAACATTAGAGACTGACCCATGTCAAGGGGAAACAGAAGAGACACCTGTTGAGACTCTAAAATCCGAGGTCCCCGAAAGCGGGACAAATGTGTGGTGAGCTGGTTTGTCCTGTGTGGTGCAAGTACCTGAGATACTATGGCTATACCGAGGAGTATGACTGAGGTTTTGTGGGTCACATGTTATCCACATCACAACTGGACACTGTACTGAGAACATTTATTCTGAAAGCTTTAAAGCTTAGAAAAGCACTTGGTTTAGTTGGTGGAGAAACAAGCAGCCCATATCGTAAGTGCAGCTGAGGACCACTGTTAGACCTGTGGACAAAATCCTTCCGGTCTACCTGGAAAAGAGGTTCAAGATCAAAGGACTTGGTTTCTGTCTGTATCAAATAAGCTCTTCAATGGGGACAAAATACTGCTTGATTATAGCAAATGAACCTTCTTGTTTCTTGAAGAATTTTAGTAAGGGGAATCTAATAGAATCTTTGCCTCTTGAAAGAATTAATTTCTCCAACAGCGGTGAGCCATTTGTTGTTGTTGTGTGCCTTCAGTGGATTTTGACTTATAGCGACCCCATGTGACAAAGTAGAACTGCCCCATAGTGTCGTTTTCTAGGCTGTAATCTTTACAGGGGCAGATCACCAGGTCTTTCTCTTGCGGAGTGGCTGGTGGGTTCCAACCACCAACCTTTCGGTTAGCAGCGAAGGGCTTAACCATGGTGCCACCAGAGCCATTTAGTCCTCGATAGTAAGGGATTCTATAATTTCCCAGAGAGACCAATGATTCATCAACCAGGGGACCCACCTGCACCTAACAGAAATGAGCTACAAAAAAAGACATAACAATCCTGTATGTCTCAGACATAGATTTCAGCAGCTCAGATGAGATTATTAAGTGGCTTTCCCAAACCCTGCCAGGAGGCCTAGAAGGTGAACATAAGGCCATGGAGCTCTCCCCAGGTTCCCACAGAGAAGACCTCTAAGCTGAGCTACAAGCCTCTCAGAGCACTGTGCTCCTGGCAGGCAGAGTCTTCCACCATCTGCCCCACAGGTTTCTTCTATTGCCACTTGCTCTATGCATCAGTTCCTGTATACATCTTTCCCAGACTAGACCCCTGCACCCCATCCCTTCTGATGACCTGCCCCTAAGGCCTGCCCCCATGCACCTATGAAAATGAAAACAAGAAAAAGGGGGAGCTCATGCCCTTTAAAGGGAGTGGAAGATGAAGGCTCAGCTCCACTGTCAAATGGTCAGTATTTGGCCTTTTTCCTATGCCATCCCCTCTGACCAGGGTGCTGGACTCCATGTGGGGATAACTGTGCCTTCCATGTGTAAAGGTGTGCTAGCTTTCCCCAAGCACATCCACAGTCGATTGTCTTTACTGGGCCCCACAGCAACAGTGTGAGATGAGCAGGAAGGTAGTTAGTCCCCATTTACAGATGAGGAAACGGAGGCTCAAAAGAAATGAACTGATCTGATGGAGCCACAACCAGAAACCAGGTTTCTGACCCCCACCTCAACTACTCTTTCCTCCCACAGAGAAGACCTTCCACATTTGAGGATTCAATGTTCTCCGTTCTGGCTACTTGCAAACAACCGGAGAACCGACAACATGCAGTGATTTGCAATTTTGCTGATGCACAAATTTGAATATAGCGCATGCTGCAAAGCTTGTGTGCAGGGGAAAGGATGAGTGAGTGGTGGGGGAAGGGATTTCAGAAATGAGGCCAGTTTCCCATCACACGTGCCCTCACAGTATTGATTTCCCAGGAAAAGGGCCCATTGAGCGTGTCCTCCCCACTACCAGGGCAGGAGGAAGGGGTGACTCTAGAGGACAGGAGAGGGGCCAGGGGCACACGGCTGAGACACAGCTATCTGTTCACAGCTGCACGGGGGTCTGGTGAGAGAGTACCCGGTCAGCAGGAAAGGAGGGGAGGCCTTGGGGCCCACAGGACAGGACCTGGCCAGGTCCCGGGGAACCCAGCTTCCACATCTCAGCAGCAGGGCTTTCTCATTCTCTACTCCTTGTCCCATCTTAAAGGGCCACTAACCTTTTCCCCCACCCTTTACTACAAGTCCCGGGAAAATCCTGTGTTTGAAAGGGATTTGCCAAGGCCTCACAAGATCCCTCCTGGGTGCCAAGGATTACTGTTTGCCAGGGGACTGTCCTAAGGCCTCCGCCTTGCCCCTCCAGCCCTGCTCACCTCGGAAGCTCAGCTCACTGTCACTAACCCCACAGTCCTCTGCAGAGCTCTCCTTCTCCTGCTTGCTGCCTCCCCGGCTCCTCTTGACACTCTTGTAGAACTGCCCCCAGCGATGCCGCCCTGCATCCTTCTTCAGCCGTTTCTCCTTGGCCCTTCTGTTCTGAAACCAAACCTGCCACACAAGCACAAGGGACACATTCAGGGGCTATCCACCCAGGGTCCAGAGCCCTCTGGACCCTCAATTCAGATGTCTGACAGCGCGCTGAAGCCTCAGTAGAGAGCAGGACCAGAGAGTAATGTGCCCACTGCTCCCTCTGTCAGGGCCACAGAGCCCTGTCTCCAATTGTGCCAAATTCCCTGGGGTCATGGCCCTGAGCCCAGCTCCCCAAGGGACCAGGGTCACCACTGACGAGTTGGTGCCTCCTTCACACAGAAGGCACAGGGTCAGCTCAGGACATCTGCCACCCCGGCCCCAGGCCTGTCAGCAGTAGGGATGGGCCACAACCCCACATGGAAAAGGAGCCCTGGGCAGGGGGAGCTGGTGTCTCACCTGCACAACCCTCATGTCCAGCCCTGTCTCCGAAGACAGCTGCTCCCTCACGTGCCTGGCGGGCTTGGGGGAGTTCTTGTAAGCGTTCTTCAATGTCTCCAGCTGCTTCGCTGTGATGGTGGTCCTGGGCCGCTTAGCTCCAGCCTCTGAGTCATCTGTAATGAAAATCATGTCTTACTCGCTTTAGCGTATCCCTCCCTCCTTCCTTTCCTCAGGTATCTTGCCTGCTATGTGCCGGGCAGTGGGATGCATGGTGATTGTCAGAACGCAGTGGTGCCAAACCTCATGGAGCTAACTCCTACACCAGAAGGGCTTCCTAGCCTCTTTCTTCGCTTAGCTACCTGCCGCTCCCCAACCCCCTCCAGTCCAGCTGCTCAGAGACCATACATCAGACTAAATGTATGCAGTTCTGAATGTATGTGTTTCCCTCCCTCCTGTCAGACATCTCTGGGCAGAGCTCTAAATGTGTTATCAGCCTTGGCAAACTTAGGCCAAGGTGAACAAGCCAGCAAGCTGCCCCTGCCCCTCCCTATCAGGAGCCTCCGTTTCCCCAGGTCCGGCCCACAGCCACATTGCCTTTGTCACGGCTTCCCTCATCCTACAACCAGGGCCGAGCCTATGCATTCAAGGCTAAGCAATATTTATAAACAATACATCAGAACCCACTAGTGGATTTCTAAGTCAATTTAGTGGATTAAAACTAATAAATGAAGTAAGATGGATAGGATAGGATAGAATTAAAATAGAACAGAATAGGAATAGGGCAAGTATTGTTTCTTGAAACTTAGTTTGTTTTCCTGTATGAATATATGTACTGAGTCAAAACGTAAAGTGAGTTTCTTACTGTGGATCATAGTTTCTAAAAAAAATTCTTAAAACACTGGTCTAAAGAGTGTTCAGGGCAATCCACTGACTGATCTACGCAAAGTCTTCTATAATTTCTGAGCAGATGAGCCTAAGTTCCTGTTATTTTTCAAAGGCCATTTGTTCTCCATCAGAGTCAGGAATGAGATGGGCAATGGGTGTTCAGGCTTCCTCTCCTGCACTTATACCTACTTGCCCTCTCGCAGTGCTGGAGTCAGCAAAGAGCGAAGTCAACCACAGGGCCTCTGGGTCTCTCAGCGGCTCGCCTTTTTCGGTTCTCTGTGCTCCCTGCATTCCTATGCTCCTCCCTTTCTTTTCTCCTTTCTTTCCATTCAAGAAAACAACAATGACAACAGCTAATGTTTATTAAGCTCTTACTTTGTGCTGTGTATTGATCTAAGAGCTTTAACATGTATTCGATCCTCCTGACAATTCTAAAAGGTATTTCTTGGAGTCAGAAGACCTGGGTTCAAGACTGGCATTGCCACACTCCTGTTGAGTGGAGTGACTTGGGCAAATGGCTTCACCCTCTGAAAGCTGGGGGACGATACCGCCTGCCCTGCATGTGGCAGCATGTCCTAGATATTGAGAACAGGTGGCCCAGCCCACACCACTTCCTGCACACAGTACAATGCGGCTGATGCCCCCCCACCCCACCTCTCCTCCTTGGGTTATTTTTTTCTCAGAAGAAACAGCATCATCTCTGCATTCAGTCCCATCCTCAACCCCCTGTCACTCAGCTTCCTCCCTGGAGTCCCAAACCTGAAGAGGGGAGTCAGCAGAGACTACACTACTTAGATTCTAATTCCAAAGGACAGAGGAACCCTCCAAAAATACCTACTTTAAATTCTATTATAAGGAATTCATCCCTTCATCCTATATTTATAGATTTAACAGCATGATTATGTTTGATGCAACTTTGAATTATGCAAACATGAAATAGTGCAATTAAAAAATATGTTTATAGTCTTACTTTTTTCATAAAATTTGAAATAATGAGACCACCAAAAATTTTTAATTCATCAAGAATCACTTAATTTCAAGACTGGAGAAACCCCAAGAGTATGGCCCCCAGACACCCTTTTAGCTCAGTGATGAAGTCACTCTGCAGGTTCACCGTTTAGCCAAAGATTAGACAGGCCCATAGGACAAAACGAGACTAAAGGGGCACAACAGCCCAGGAGAAAGGACTAGAAGGCAGGAGGGGACAGGAAAGTTGGGAATAGGGAACCCAAGGTCGAAAAGGGAGAGTACTGACATGTCATGGGGTCGTTAACCAATGTCATAGAACAATATATGTACTAACTGTTTAACGAGAAGCTAGTTCTATAAACCTTCATCTAAAGTACAATTAAAAAAAAAAAAAAGCATCATTTAATTTCAAAGTAGGTTGACCTAGTAAATTAGAAACTGTTTTCCCAGTGCCCCTGGGATATACCGCCTCATCTTCTGTTGGTGTCACGTTGGTTCCACACTGCTGTATACGTGCACAGGGCTTTCTTTTTGTGATTATGGTGAGTATTATGCTGTTATTTTAACATCCGCTGTTACTATAATTTAAAAATCTTTTTGTATCCTATAACAATGTCATCCAAGTATTCATTAAGTATGGTGGCAGTGCTCGTGCTGAAAAATGTACCCAAAAATCAATAACCTTGGTACGGAAGTTAAATGTGATACAACACTCTGAAGAAGGCCAAGCAAGACCATGATATACCGGGCTGTTAATTTAGGAGAGAACATTCTGCAAGGTATTAGAGATAATGCTGAGAAAATAAAAAGTAGCATTAAGGCAAAGATACATTTTACTGGTTATGGATTTATGTGCTCCCAGAATACCCCCCCCCCTTTTACTTTAATTCCTATGGGAAAATTAGTCTACAGCTGTTAATTTTGAATTATGCAGGGTCCCCTAGAAGTTGTCCCTGGCATAAAATGCAATCTCATTATACTGAAAATGCAAATACCTTGGGAGACCTAACAAATTAACAAAAACATTCACACTAGGGTGCAAATCGCTGCTCTTGGTTCCATTGTTTAGCTCAAGGGAGAGTACTAACCAGTTAGCTTCTAATTCAGTCTCATGGCGGGCCACCCCACGTGTGTCAGGGTAGAACTATGCTCCATAGGGTTTTCAGTGGCTGATTTTTCAGAAGTAGATTACCAGGCCTTTCTTTTGAGGTGCCTCTGGGTGGACTCAAACTTCTAACCTTTTGGTTAGTAGCTGAGCCTGCTAACCATTTGCACCACCCAGGGACTCCCAAAGAGGAATAAAAGCAACTTTGACAGAGAGAGCCAAATGCTCCACTGCAGACGAAGTTCCTGTACTATACTACGATCACTCTGATCGCAGAGAAAGGAACAGCCCTTCCCTCATTGGCATACGGGGGGGAGAGAGGGAAGGGGGAACCTCAGCTACTTTAAAACCTAAAGCAGCCCAACCTCCTGGTTTGCATTTCTCTCCCATTTCACAAACATGCTATACTCTGACACACATGGGGTAGCCATGAGTCAGTCAACTCCACAGCAACTGCTTTTTGGTTTTTGTTATTTGTTTTATCCCATTTAGACCGAAGGAAACAGCCCAATGTGGCAGGAGATAGTATCCGCCCAATCTAGCTGTGAAGCCGAGGTTCAGCCAGTTATACAACTAGCCAGTGGGGTCCCCAAGTTAGTAAGTGCCCAGCAGGTATGCCCACCTAAGCCTCTGATGCCAAATCCTGTCTTGCCATTGCCCTACAGAGGTCTGCTATGGTACAAATACTCCTCGGTAAAAATATTAGCCCGACAGTGTAACTCCTGTCTCCCCAGCTCGGTTCTGACCAGCCTACATTTGTTTTCCCCTCCCCTGAACCCCCACAGCACCAGTGGGTGCAGGAACACTCAGGGTCTAACTGAGGGCTCTGAGCACGAGAGCCTGGGGCCACCGCCTGGGGAGAGAGGCCATACATTCTTACTATTCCTGGTGAAGGGCATCCAAGTTTCAAAGCCTTCTTGGTATCTGAGTCCATCTGTTTTGATGGTTTATCCCTGACAAGACACCCTAATCTTCTGTGACATCATTATTGACTCAAAAGCAACAGCCTGGTAGGAGTTTTAAGTAACCAGAGTAGGTTAATACATTAAGGCAAAGATCCTTGGGAGGTGGGCGTGGGGAGGCCCTGGATCCCTGGAGGAAGTAGACCAAAAGCCTCTGTTCATTCCTAAAAGCCAGAGCAGTGGGTGTGCTGGGAGAAGAGGTCCTCAAAGGGAGAGGAAGCCCCTGAAGGGGCACCCCTCCTGCCAAAGCCAAGCTCAGGGCTCCAGCTGGCCCACCTCCTCCGCCTCCTCATCACCACAAACCGCTTATTTCAAACTGCGTTTATTAAGCGAAAAACTAATTTGTAGTAATCAAGTCTATAAAACATACAAGGAGCTCTGGTGGTGCAGTGGTTAAGGCACTCGACTGCTAACCGAAAGGTCAGCAATTTGAACTCACTTGCCCCTATGCGGGAGAGGGATGTGGCAGTATGCTGTCTTAAAGATTACAGCCTCGGAAGCTCTATGGGGCAGTTCTACTCTGTCCTGTCGGGTCAGTATGAGTCCAAATCAACTCCATGGCAATGGGAAGTAATATATGCATGTGGGCCCAGGAAAGATCTGGAAGGATATACATGAAATTGCCACTGCTTTGATTTTTTCATAAGGCCTAGAGCTGCTTTCCACAGTAACACCCTGAGTTGATAAAATTCTAATTAAATGCAAACCAAAAAAAAACAAACCCATTGCTGTCCAGTCGGTTCCCACTCATAGCAACCCTCTAGGGCAGAGTAGAACTACCTCATAGGGTTTCCAAGGCTGTAATCTTTACAGAAACAGACTGCCACATCGTTTTTCTGCAGAGCTGGCTGGTGGGTTGGAACTGCTGACCTTTCGGTTAGCAGCTGAGCTCTTTAACCACTATGCCACCATTTAATTAAAAAAAAAAATTTGCCATCAAGTCAATTCCAACTCATAGTGACCCTATAGGACAGAGTAGAACTGCCCCATAGGGTTTCCAGGGAGCGGCTGGTGGATTCAAACTGCCGACCAGGGCCACTTAATCAAAAGAAAAGGACCTTGTTATTTCCTGAGTTCACAAATCTGTGATTCCCAGGTTGAGTTTAGCCACATCCCAAATTCAGAGGCAGGGTGGAGGGTACAAACACTCCCATCCCCCACCACCCCACCCCTGCCGCCCTGCAGGGCTTGGAACTCCTCAGGTGTGGGTGAGAAGCAAGAGGTGGGAGCAAATGGAGGAGGGGAGTCAGCTTGGCCCTTGCTGAGGGGAGTGTCACTAGGGGAGTGCAGGGGTGCAGAGCGCATCCCCTGACACTTTCAGAGGGGGTGACACCAAAATGAGCCTAGGGTCCACGTCAGAGGCAGTGCTGGGGGAGAGGAGAGGCCACCAAGGCAGTGGCATCACTAGGGCTGGTGTCACCCAGTGCGGTAACTTGTCATCACCACCACCACCACCCTCACCCACCATTCAGGGTGCGGGCAGCTGGGCCGAAGGGCCAACCATTGGGCAGAGAGAAGGGCTTGGCCAATGGGAGACAGGAGGAGCTGCTGGGGAGCCGGTGAGCAGGGCCAGGAGGGGCTGGCCGAGGGCAAGGCCCTGGGCCCTACAAGAGGGGGAGTGCTCAGCCCACCAGGGGGGATTTGCAGGCCGGCCCACCCATGGGGGGTGATGCCCACCCTAGTGACACCATTGACTTGAAAACCCCAAAAGCATAGCATTGGAGGGCAAGATCAGGCTGCCCAGGTTAGGGCAAGTTTTCCCAGATGTGGCTGCTAAATGTTGAGGCATGAGTTCAGCCTCAGCTGGAGCTGTGAGCGTCTGCTGCAGACCACAGAAATGACCTCTGAGGTGGTTGGGGTGACAATTGGCAGTGGGCAGTGGGTGAGGGAGTTATTTTACTGAGTTGGAGTCTCCCTGAATGTGAACAAACTGTCTCCCTCTTCTTTCTCCCAAGAGTGACTGAGCACCTGCTCTGTCGCTGTGGGCGTCAGGTGACACAACAAGTCAGCATCCCCAAGTTTCTATCCTCTAGAAGCTCACAGTCTGAGAGGAAACAAAACACAGTGAACTGAAATACAAGATGATCCATTCTAGGGTGACTTAGGCCAATGCTGGAGCTGGCGCTGACTCCAGCCTCTGAGGCACGGGATGCTGAGGTAAATGTGCACCCCAAGACACAAGACTGAGCACCGCAAGTGTCCACTATGGACAGAGCACTCTCCTAGCAGCCCCTCTGGACTCCCAGCCCCACCCTAGGCAAGGCGTCCATCAGGATGATGAAGACAAGGTCACTGCTGCTCCTGAGTCTACTCTCTAGTGTGGGAGACAGGCGCACGCTAACCATAATTTGATCAACGCTTCAAAAAAGCCAGTCAGGGCTAAAGGACTAGGGAATGTTCGAAATTAACTCTCCTGTAGAGATCTGGGACAACTTCTCGGAGGAGGCCGCGTTTGAGCAGGGCTTTGACGGACAGACAGGTGGGACTCAGAGAGGCGTACCAGAGGGTACCACAGACCCGGGACACCACAGACCGGGGCACAGCCGGAACCAAGGCAGGGGGTGTGGCCATGCAGGGCAGCACCGGTTACCATTCTGCTTGGCTGTTTCGTAGTCCTCCTTGCACACCAGCCTCCCATCCTCCATGAGGTAGAACTCGTCCCCCGTGGCCAGCTGCCGGTTACAGATGATGCAGGCGAAGCAGTGCAGGTGGTAGACAAAGTCCTGGGCTTTGCGGACCACCTGGGTGGGGGGAATGCCCTGCTGGCAGGCTGTGCATTTTGTGCCGAAGCGCCTGTCAGGAGAGCAGAGAAGGATTAGGGCACAGAGTGGTGCCTGGCTTCCCCCACTCACCCCAGCCCCTCTCCCACCCACCACTTGGTAGAGTCCTTGTGCATCAACCCCCAGCCTCCCAGAGCCTCCCATGGTCCTCCTTTACCTCCAGATAGTTACATTGCTTTGTGTTCCAGACTCCTCAACCACAAAATGAAGGGTCTGGATCAGAACTCAAGTCTCCAAGGCCTCTTCCAAGGCGGACATCCCAGGGCTCCAAAATACCCGAATTACAGCCCATCAATTAACCCAGGCAGCAGGAGGAGTTTCTAAGTCCCTCCACAAGCAGCTATTTCACCCTCAGCCCCCAGTTTCCTCGCCTTCACAGTGAGGCCAAGAGGACAGGCCTCACAGGACCTCTGTGTGTTCCCGCAGGCTGGTGTGTGTAAAGCATCCAGCAGAACACCTCTCACGGCTCCCCACTGAGGATGCGGCTTGCCGAGTCTACACTGGAGTGCCTGAGAAATGCGCTTCGTGCTCTGTCCGAGGGCTCCCCTCTCCTGCCCCCACCCCAAGACCTCCCCTCCCCTCCCCTCCATGTGGCCCACATGAAATCGCCCTGTGCCAGCCCTCATCCCCTTCCTGGGCACATCCCCCCAGATGTGTGGGCTGGGCTGGGCCCAGGAATCTGCATTCTCAAGCCCCTGTGACACACTGGGGCGGGGCATCTGCAGACCTCAGTGTGAAAAATGCGGCTTCAGACCTCTCCCTGGGCCACACCGAGGGAAGAGGAAGCCATCCACTGCCGCCCTGTGCTGAGGTTGGGACTGGAAAGGGAGGAGAAATAGACACATTTAAAATATAGTCCACTGGAGTCATTGAAGCCCCTGCTCCCCATTCTGGGCCTAGAGATCAGCAAAGACACACCAGTCGTCACAGAAGGCTACAAGGAAATCACTGGGCCAGTGTGGACGAGGGCAGGGACGGGGGTGCTTGGCTGCAGGTGAGCCTTCCCCGCTTCAGGAGGGAGCGGGAGGGGGTGGCAAAGAAGGGGCAGAGTTTAAAACAGCAATCAACCTAATTATTCATGACATTTCACACAGCAGAACTTTATCTTCTTCAGGATGAAAGACTTTGCCTAATGGATCTGGGGAAGGTTTGATTTTAATGGTCCTTTTAACTAATGCTTATAGGCAGCCTGATATCCCCTGAAAGGACAGTACATATTTCATCCACATTAATACCAAATAAATTAATTATGGTCATGGCTATCATGATGAATCCCAGATTAATGCAGAATGATGGGTCTCTTCTGCCGTAATGATACCTGCTGAGGGCCCTGCAGAGGTCTGGAGCAGGCGTGGCCAGCTGTGGCTTCCGAAGCAACCCCTCGTCACATGTCGCAGAGAAGTGGGGGGTCTCTAAGTCTAGGTAGCCAACCCCAAAAGGGCTAGGAGTGTGGTGCAGGGGATTGCTCTTCTGGGATGAGATACAAGAAGGTCGTTAGGTATGAAGGGCTGGCTGATACATTTGGCTTGGAGCAGCCCAGACTTCTGGATTCCTGGAATGCCTCCTAGTTTTGGGGGGCAAGTATGTGGGACGGGTTTCTATAGAACAGAATTCTCAGCCTGAGGCCCAGTATGGGCTGGGAGAGATCTATAAACCATCCCCACCCCCAGAATTGTTCAAAACCGGGCATCAGGAAGGGGACCTAGGCTTTCAGCAAATTTTCAGAGGAGTCCAGGACCCAGAAAAGTAGAGTTAAAAGTATTGGTGGAATAAATAAATCAGTGAATAAAGACCATGCTTTTAGAGGATGTGGACAGAGATGGCTAAACCTGAGGATGGAGAACAAAGTATACAGTCAACTCTGGAAGATTCCATACAGGTAAGAACCAACCTTCATGACTGCTGTCCAACCACATCCCGTATATGAAGAGGAAAGGCAGGCAGGCAACCAGCTTGTGTGCGTGTGTGTGTGTGTGTGTGTGTGTGTGTGTGTGTGTGTGTGTGTGTGTGTGTGTTTGGGTAACAAAGAGAAAGGAAGCCTGTGTATGTTACTAGAGTGGCTTTTCAAAACACCTGTACTTTTTATATCGAATCTAGGCCAATTCACAAAGCAGGTGTTAAAAATGAAACAATGCTTTCTTCATGCATTGCAAACCTTCCCAAATAAACCACCAAAAATCAAGAGACTTTGTCCAAACCCTCTGCTGCAGATGTTGTGCTGATGCTGGAGCAGAAGCAGCCCCAGAGAACTGCCCATGTTCCCCAACAGGAAGTCCTACATAAGAGGGAGGAGATGGGGGGCAAGGGGGGTTGAGGGGGGCTCCAGAAAAGAGCAAGGACCACTCAGCAGCCTCTCCCATGGAAGGGCCACATCTCTCTCACCACTAAAAAGCAGACAGTGGCTTTCAGTAACCAGAACCCAGTTGACACCAGAGCACCAGAGACATGAAAGATAACGGGAGTATAAATTTAATCTACATTCCGACAGTGATTCATGCGTGAGGGTGGCAAGTGCACAAGAAAAATGAAAAATAAATGGACTTTCCTACCAGCGTTTTTTAGCAATTGAAGCAATTTTCCTGATTGTGGGATTTATACCGATGGTAAGTGGAAGTTGTTCCTCATTACCTATCTCCCCCGGGACACAGCCAGCGGGGACTCTCACCAAGGGAGCCGGTCCACTCCCTCAGCCCACAGGGCTCCCCCCAGCATGGCCCAGCCCTGCAGGGTGCCCACCACCCCCACCCCACCCTATCAGAGCCAGTGGACCCCCAATAACACGCTGTCCTTTGGAGTGTGTATGTGTTGAAGACACTGTCTTGAGTTTCCAGATCTTCGACCATCCAGAGTCACAGAGGAGAAAGCTGCATGACTTGTCCTGTGACAGGCAATAATGAGACACACGGCCATGGTTAAAATTCCCTGGTCCAAAACAAGGTGAAATTGTGGATTGGGCTGCTACACAGAGAACCAGGTGTCTAGCTGACCCGACCAAAATTAGAAGGATGCTGAGAATGGGGAGGAAGGATTGAACACCAGCCAAGGGATTTTCTAGGCAATTAAAAAAAAACCAAATGCACTGCCATCAAGTCGATTCTGACTCATAGTGATGCTATAGGACAGCGCAGAACTGCCCCATATGGTTTCCAAGGCTGTAAATCTTTACCAGAGCAGACTGCCACATCTTTCTCCCACAGAGCAACTGGTGGGTTCAAACCATGGACCTTCCAGTTAGCAGCTGAGCGCTTTAACCATTGCAGAACCAGGCTCCCTTTCTAGGCAGTACCTATCGCTGAGCACCTACTGTGTGCAGGGCCTTGCTCACTCAGGGGCAAACCCCGCAGGTCTCACTCTCCAGAAAAACAAGGCCTCTGTTCTGTGCTGCCTGGCCAGCCCTCTGGGAAAGCAGCTGGAACTAACCCAAAATGACAAAGAAAATGCAAGGAAGGACTTGGAGCTGATGGCTTATGTTATTTTTCTCGTCTGATCAGCACCACTGGCGATTTTCTCTTATCCCTGCCCAGCACATAGTAGGCAAGCCAAAAGACACACTGAATACATGACTGACTGACCGACTGACTGAATGAATGAATGAACAAATAAATGAATGAACAAACTGCTCCTTAAAACTTGTGCCTGAAGCAGTCGGGGAGAGTTGGCACTCAGCATGACAACTGCAGCTCCTAGGAGAGAACTGGACCCGGCTGAGAGGAGGCCCTGGCTCACTGAAAACACACAACTCCCCATCCCCAGAGCTGTCTCAGTCACGTTGCTCACACAGATACTTCCTGAGTGCTTAGCCTGCAAGGTGAGTATAATACCTTTTAACAGGTGAGAAACCGAGGCTTAGAGAGGTGAGGGGCGAGCCTCAGATCACACAGGCAACAAGTGGGGACCAGAGTTTGAACTCAGGGCTTCTGACCACACAGCTGGCGCACAGGGCTGCAAAAGTCAGCCAACACCCCCTGAGAAGCTCGCCTTGGAGTGCCTACCCTGGAGCTTAGGTAGAGGGACGCTGACCCCTCAGTGTCCCCAGCTGTGTGGACTATGGGGCTCCTAACTCTGAGCCGCTAGGGGCTACCAGCCTGCGGTGCAAGGGCCGCCCTAGGAGTCCTCACCCCCAGAGCCACCTCCCTGACTGGTCCTGCTGCCCACCTTGTACCCCTTCTACAGCAGGGGGAGGTGTGAGGGGCCTGGCCTGTGTCCTTGGTCTCACCCTCTGCTCCAGTGGTCATCCTGAACACCCATCTGTCCACCCTTGCTGCTCTTGACTGGCCTGGCTAGACCACTGGACAGTGCAGGGACAAACGTGAGGGTGTCTGGACCCTGCGGAAAGAGGGCGACAGACAGGCCCAGCAGGAGGGGCCTGCAGGCACTCACCTTCTGGAACCAGAGGCACACAAACCCTGCACCACAGATGTTCTGGCCCATTCCTGATTCTACGTTCCATCCTGTGATCAAGCCCAGGTGCCATATTTGGGCACTGAAACATTACTAATAAAAACAGCTTCCATCTACCAAGCACTCACTGTGTGCCCTACACTGTCTGGCACTCTGCATACATTATGTCATTTACTACTCATCACCAGGCCCTCAGAGTGCAGTCCCCACTACCCCTCTTTGGAGCCACCTCCAGACTCCTCATTCCTTGAGGAGTTTAGCTCCAGGCTTACATTCACTCACTGCCCCTCCTGTCATAATTCTTGGTGACTTCAACATCCACACAGACCATCCTCCCTGCCCCTGCATGCTCAAGACTTTGGCCTCTTCCCCCAAAGATCATGGTCTCCACCCTTCTTCAGCCAGTCACTCCCATGGTCTACCCTTGGCCTCGTTGTCACCAGTAACTGCAACACTTCCAAGAATCACTTTCTATCATTCCATCAATAGATCACTGCCTCCTATCCTTCCAGCTCACTCCCTCCAGCACCCTGATGCCGATGATTCTGCAACCCTTCAAGAACCGACGGTCCACTGACTGTCCTTCTCACTGTCCCTCACTCCCTTCATGGC